GTTCCTACTTTTGATGATGTCCATTCCCGTCTATCACATGTCTCATTAGTTTCGAATCCAACTATTGACTTCGGAGACAAGTTTGCTCGTATGTCCTTATTTTCGTCTACTTTCCATGGGAGTCCTCGGAATCAAAATAAACCGCGTCCGCAATGTACTTATTGCAACAAAAAAGGGGCATAGTTGCGAAAAATATTGTAAACTACATGGACGGCCACCTTGGACTATTGTTGCGCAGGCTGAAACTCCTCCGTAGTCAAGAAATTTTTTCACATTATTTGGTTTTGACTATGAGGAATTCATTGCATACCAAGCTTCAAAGCAATCATTTTTTTCACCAGTTGCCTCTATTGCTCACACGGGTACATCTTTTGGTCCATGGGTCTTTGAATTTGGTGTCTTTCATCACTTCTCCATCAATCCGAAACTATTTTCTTATTTTCACAAATTATCTCATTACCTTATGTTACTTTAATTGATGGTTCAAAAGTTTCTGTTAAAGTTGTAGGTGATGCTCAACCATTGCCATGTTTACCCTTGACATCTGTTTTATTTGTTCCCTATTCTTGATTTTGTCAGTTAATTAACCAAAACCTTGAATTGCTCGATACTTTAACTCTGATAATTTTCTATCTAGGACCATAGCACGGGAAAGACGATTAGCACATGACTTCAGTTTCATGGACTTCATCACCTTGACATACCCTGCCTTGCCCTACCTTTAGTTGCTTGTTCCACTGCTAGCTCTCCTACACACTTCTAAACCAATGGTGGGTTATCCAAGTCTTTCTAAGTTGTGTCACATTTGTTTGAAGTCTTTCTAGTTTATCTTTTTTGTCTTGTTAGTCTTGCCAGTTAGAAAAACAAACTCGTGTTTTGTTTTCTCAGCAGGTCAATACGCTCTTTGCTTAGTTCACTCTGATATATAGGGTCGTGTCTAACTATTTATATGTTTGATTTTCAGTATTTTGTTAACTTTGTTGGTGATTTTTCTAGGTGGACTCGCTTTATTTAATTAAAGCTCATTCTAAATTATTTTGTCTTAGAACATTTTATGTTAGAAATTCAAAATCAATTTAGTATATTAAATTAATTCAGGCTGAAAATGCTACTGAATACTTTTGAACTCCTGTAATCTCGTGTTTATACTCAAACATAATGGACTTGATGAACGCAAGAAGTGCTACCTTATTGAGACTACTCGTGCATCATAATGTTCATTTTCGGTTTTGTGCTGATGTTCTTACTGCGTGCTTATAAACCGCATGCCCTTGGGAGCTAAAGTGTGTATTTCCGGATTATTCTCGGGTTCAAAAGGAATGTAAATATTTTTCTTCTAATACTCATTGATATTACTTTTTTGCCAATGTTACTTTCTCTGAGTAACCCTCTATTTATCTTCTTCGTCTGTGACACCATCTATTAGTCATGTGTTATCTATTCCTTTCTCTTCCCCACTTTTTTCGCCTTCACCTTTTCTTGTTTATAGTCATCATCCTTGACTTTTAGTGCCTCATTTTAATGTTTCTACCGATAATGTTGCTACAGCTCTTTCCGATGTCCTAACTCTCAATCCTTGCCTTTGTCTTATTCTCCTCATATGGGTCCTTCTGCTAGAGTCTACATTCAAACCGTTATGCAGAGGTACACGTTATTCTCTCAATCCACAGCCCATTTACAATTTGCTAAGTTTTCCCGCTTGTCTCCCACGTATTATACTTTCATATCACACCTATCTTTTGTTTCCCTACCTAAATACATTTATTACGCTTTTTCTCGTTCAGGTTGGTGATAGGCAATGGTGGATGAAATGACTGCCTTATATACTAATGGTAGTTGGGACTTAGTGCCTACACCTTTAGGTAAGTCCATTGTGGCCTTTCGGCGGGTTTATGCAGTTAAGGTTGACTGAATGGTCAAGTTGCTCGTCTTAACGCCCGTCTAGTGACTAAGGACTTTGCACAGGTCTTTGGTGAAGATTATACTAAGACATTCGCTCCAGTTGTCAAGATGTCCTTAATCCACTTTTTTTTTTTAACTTTAGCAGTTATGCACTTTTGGCCTCTTCAAGAAGAAATCTATATGGAGCAACCTCCGGATTTGTTGCTCAGGGGAAGTCAAGTCTAGTTTGCAAACTACGTTGTTCATTATAAGCAATCTTCTCGTGCTTTGTAGTCGATTCAACAGTGTCATCAGTAATTTTGCATGGTTCGAAGTACATTAGATCATTTTATTTTTCATACACACATCAAGTGGTAAGTGTTTATACCTCTTTGTATATGTTGATGATATTGATCTCCCTAGGAATAATCAAGAAGGGATCACTTAGTTAGAACATCTATTCCCGTATTTTCAAACTAAAAATATTAAAGTCTTTCTTGGTAATGAAATTGCTCGATCATGTGATAGAATTGTTCTTCCACAACAGAAGTATGCTTTGGACATTTTTTAAGAAATTGGTTTATGACTCCCCAAAGGATCCAAATTTGAAGCTTCTTCTAGGACAAGGGAAACCATTAGCTGATGCCGGCAAATATTATAGGTTGGTTGGTAAGCTTAAATATCATGTGAGTCAATTCATCCACTCTTTGTGGGATACCTATTGGTGCTATTTGAATTATGATGTCATCGAATGGTTGCCTAGAAAAGGCTTATTGTATAATAATCAAGGCCATATTGAAGTGATTGGGAACTCAGAGGTTAATTGGGCAGAATTTCCACTTGATAGACATTCTACTTCACGGTATTTGCATATTTGTGGGAGATAATCTTATTTTTTGGAAAAGTAAAAAACATAGTGTTATTGCTCGATCAAGTGCAGAGGTAGAATATCAAGCACAGACTTACGCACCTCACGAGGATCAGGCCCCCAACCTTTAGCATGCCAATGGAGGGTAGGGTTCACTGCTTGAACTACACACCCTCGGCAGATAGTGCAGAGGCAAAATATCAAGCTATGACATTAGAAACATATGAACTTACAAAATCTCTTAGAGGTCGTCGAATCAAATATCTATATGATAAACTTGTATCATACAATTTGTATTTTTCAGTTTGAAGAGGAGTGTTGGATATATTGTATGTAGGCCATTTTGTATGTAGAATAGTTTAGTCTTTTTTAAGATACTATTTTTATGTATATATATATATATTGTAGACTTGTGTACTTGTATTTTTATCGTTTAGAGTAATATTTTCTTATATATGTTTGACAAGGCTGGAAATTGTTGAAGCCTCAAGAAATGCAATGTTGGCCATCCGAAGGGGTGGATATTATCCATAACTCCTTTTTTCATGACCCCTCTTTATTGCAATGAGTCTAGTGAGGTCACGCCCCTACCACAACTACCTTATCCAAGTGTCATGAGTGTAGAACTATCGAAAGGAATTTAAACCACTGTTTCCTTGGAAATTAAATGTGATAATTAAGAATACACTTCAATTATATGACCATGGACCCAAATTGATTATTTTATCATCTTATCCGACTCGACTTGATTCAATACTCGAATAATTGGACCCAACATTGATTAAAATGAGACCATGGACCCAACCTGATTTTATCATCTTACCGACTCAACTTGATCCATACCCAAATAATTGGAACCGATTAAACAAGTTGCGTTTTGGTCTGGCCAATCCCATTGTCATCCTTACAAGTAAACAAACCATAGTTTCTCGTATACCCATTTTCCAAAGTTATCAACTAAGTAAAGCTGTGTTTAGATATGTTTTTGAAGTGTTTTGGAGTTTTAGGATCTTTTGGGAACAGTAAAAAATAAAATAGATGTTTGATGTAATGTAAATAGGGATTGGGTGTACTGTTCGAAGTAGAGAATAGGTTTTTTATGCGACATTTTAAATGAAAAATAAGTTCTAAATAAGTATGATATTTTTTAGAGAAAATAATAACTCTTAACAAATAGAACGAAAACAAAGTTGAAAACATAAGTACTGAGAATCAATACATTGGATATCATTGAGGCTATAGACCATTAAAATCAATATAGAGGATAAGGAGAAAAAGAGAGTGTTAAGTGTCAAATTAAATGTGTAAGAACCTCTCAATGGGGCCTATTTGAAGATGCCTGTATTTTAATTTGTTAAATTTTGTGTATTACTGTAAGTTTGATGAGGATTCATTGATATATATAATAAAATAGTCTCTTTTTTTTCTTTATTTTTTATGTATAGCTATACTGCTTTGTAGATTTTGTACTTTTTTTTTTTTATGAAGGATTTTGTATTTTTTTTTTATCGGAATATTTTAATTGTACTATATGATGTTGTAGAATTATTGATGAATTTTAGAGTATATGTATAATCTAAATGCCAATTAATGGGTGTATATAAGTTTGCTTGGATTTAGACTAAAGTAATGATTGTGTAATTGGAAGAGGATTCATACTTGACCTATAAATTGGCTAGTTTTTTAGTTGAGATTCTTCTACCATGTAAACAAGCAAACAGTAATAATATAAGCCAACTTCAAAATGTTACTGTTTGCTTGTTTTACCTTATAGAGTTTTCATCAATCTATTGTTTAAAATTGATGTGAATTATCCCTAAACTCTAATAAGACAAAGATATCTCATAGGCGTGTGCAATGATGTGGGTTATGCTTCCGGATGTGTTATTTTGCTCTATGCCCTATTGTTTATGGTTAAATCCAACACAATTGATAGCTGTATCTTGATCTTTATTGATTTCAATTCAATTATTGTAGACATGTGTTGTTAGTTTCGAATATCTGAGTTTTCTTTTTCCCTTTCTTTTATGTAATATAAATCAAAATTTGATGAGTTTCTAAAGATGGAAAATGTGGGTTGCTTTGCTTGCCATTTATTAAATTACATCACTGGCCAACGATTCACTTTGCTCCATGGAAGGAACATCTGAAATTGCAGGAGATTCTGCAGCTTCATTTTTGGTTGTTACATCAACACTTTAAGTTTATGCATTCCTATTAATTCATCTTAATTTATTTCTATTTATGACAGGTATCGGAGATCATGGAAGCTGAAGAGGATTTGATTGGTTCAAAAGTTCAAGTTTGGCGACCAAAACATCAAATGTCAGTCTTCCTTACATTTCCGCTGTACAGTAGTATATGATTAGGTAACTGATGGGCTGCATTCTGCTTTTGGTTGCTATGGCCAGGTTTCTTGAGGGTATAATCGTTGCTTCTTTTAGCTCCGGCAAGAAGAAATACCAGGTCAGCATCTAATATTTTCGTTTATGTAATCTGTTGCTTATGAAATCCTTACTGCATTTATGCATCTTCTAAACAGGTGCTATTCGCCAACGGTGAGGAAGAATTACTAGATCTTAAAAGTGAGCGCTGGGAACTTGTTAAAGACGACACAGTTTCTGAGGTAAGTTATTTCTATGATTACCTTCTCGGCTGACTAGTTTAATTATCAATCAATTTTATTATCTGTTCAGGCACACCCTGTTATGAAATCCCCGACATCCGAGGTTGTTGAAAAGATACGTTCCATATTAGCTGGTGGTCCTGGCCAACCAGCCGAACGATTTTTTGATTTACAGCTTTTCTTACTGGAATATATCGAATCTCCTGCTGCTGCCAAATGTTCCGATATTCAAGAATTAGTACAGAAAATGGTGCACTCTGCTGGTGAGATAGGAGCAGAATATGATGTTGTTAACCGTCGACTCGCCACCAGTAAAGACGAGCTGGAAAAATTAAGTCAGGTGGAGTCTAGAAAGTCTGCGCTGGTTACCGAGCATGCAGATGCAGCTGCAAAGGATGCAGAGATTCAAGCAGCTCGACAGAAACTACTGAATCGTCGATCAGAACTTAGAAAACTGATAGTCGAGGCAGAACAGGAGATTTCCATGATTGAACCAAAATTGGAGAAGTTGGAATCAGAAGCTAGAGAAACAGCTGCTCAAAAAACATCGATGGAAGCAGCAATTCAAGAAATCGAGACTCAGGCGAAGGTTTCTTCTTTGCGCATGATCGTGTGGGAAGATCACCTCGAGTCCAGTAAGAAGAAGTTAGCTGGATTGGAGTCTTCGTGGGAGTGGTTGAAATGCTCGTGGGAACATATCGAGTGTGAACAGGCCAAGTGATGAAGAAGGTGCGATCTTGTGTCCCAACCACTTTTAGATAACTTCTTCTCCGGCGATGTACTTAAAATTCATACTCTGTGTCCTGATTATGGATAGGTATGGAAACAATTTTCTGAAATGAACAGATCTGTAGACAACATGTAGCTGTAGTAGTAACTGGATTTGGCTTTTTTGTGTGTCATTGCCCTATCTAATGCTGTGAAAAAACTTGTTTATTCTTGAAGCCTATGTTTAAATTTTCATGCTGCTCTTTCATAGAAATTGTGTTTAGTAAAGAATATATATATATATATATATATATGGAAATTGTCATAAGAATATTGTTTGTGTGAACAAATCCATTAAATAAAATAAGATGAAACAAAATCTAAATTAGGCCAATCTAACTGGGCCGGATATGAAGCGGGCTGATACGAGTAAATTAGGCTTAAATAATGCAAAAACCATCGGCTAAATGATGCGTGTGGTTGTGGGTTTCTAGAAGTTTTTATTATTCATTTTTTTAAAAAAAAAAAATCAAATTAAAAAAAATATATATATCAAATTAAATATATATTTATATATTATACTTAAAAATTTATATCGCATCAAATAATTATTACGATTTTTATTATTCAAAATGCAAACACAAACAAACAGCACCTCATTTTTATTTTTTTAATATATATTAATATATAAAGTTTATTTGTTCAACTATTTTTTTACCTGATACCATTCACAAACATATATAATACATATTAAATTTTTTATTTAGTTGTGCTTTTGGAATTGGATGTTGATTTAAATTTTTATTTAAATATTATTTAATATGATATTTTATAATAAAAAATAATATATATTTATTGAAAAATGTGCTCGGAATGAGTAGTATTTGTTTGAATTTATAATGTTGGAAAAAACAAACTATTTTTTTTCTCACAAAAAGTTTAACATTTCATACAAATTTAGACAGATTTACAATTTACAAAATCATATTTTCTCAAAAAAAATAATATATATTAAATACACTTATTAATTTTATATTATTTACACAATTTCATATATTCATATGAAAAATATTTCTTCAAACAATTTTATTAAACAAACAAACTATTTACCTCTCTGTAAAAAAAGTACATCAAACTAAAACACTAAACAAAATGAAGGTATAAAATTTCATTTATTGGGCCCATTCTAATTGGGTCTACTGGGGCATATTATATCTATATATGATCTAATTTTTCACTATTTATTTGCTACTCTAAATGATCTTGAATTGGGTTTGAATAGTAAAAATTTTGAATTTGAATAGTTGTATGATGTGATATAAATAGGTGATGATGTGATGTTTTGAATGTAAAATTGATTTTTAGTATAATATAAAAAATGAAAAATAGGTGTTTGATTTGATGTTTTTGGGGGAAAAATTTTGGATGAATAGTGGAATTTAATCCAAATCCATCAAACGAACACACCCTTAATGTATAGTGGACTGATCTAGACTTTGTTTTGGGTTTGTGTATAATCAGCCCACTAAGACAAGAATGAATTAAGGAAATAATTCTTGAAAAAAGTATGGATTACTTTTTACTCTTACAAAATAATAGTAGGAGAATGAAAATTTAAGGCTATTCTTATATACATAATATAATATTGGTTTGTTTGTTTTTTATTATAAAAATAAAAAATATAATTTTAATAATATTTTAATATGATATTATATAAGAAAAAATATATATATATTTTCTTTTATTAGAAACCTTACAAACTAAATAATGATTTATTCTTTAAATAGAAATAAAAAAATGCCTTATATATTTTTTTAAGTTTTGTCACTATTATTCTATTAATCAATAGTTTTTTTTTTTAAACATATAATATTGTAATTTTATTTTATTTTATAAAATATCACATAAATCATGAAATATTTAATTTTTTACTATTTTTAAAATTCACCAAAACTTTCAAGGTTCAAAATTCTTATCTAATTGTTTGATGTGATTTATTTAATAAAAATAAACATCGGATATTATTATATAATAATAATTTTGTTGAATTTTCTGCTTTGATAAAAGCAAAAGTATATTACTATAATTAGGATAAAAAATGTATGAATACCTTAAATTATGTGTTCACTTAACAAAATTTATTGACGCATTTAATATTATAAAAAATAGAATATATACATATTTATCTAATATATAATACTTTTTTGCATCCATCACAAATGTAATAATTTATTTTTTTATGTGGATTTTTTAATATATTAATAGTTTACAGATATATAATACAATACATGTATAAAGACAGTTTTATCTTATGACATTTATTTAATTAGAATAGTAATGATAATAGATTGACTCCGAATCGGCAGAAACTTTGTAGTAGACAACGGTGTTACCAAAGTTGAAATTGGAAAATTTGATCACGGTAGAGGACACAAAAATGCCGAATTCGATAGTTCATAAAGCTCACCTTGAAAATGAGAAGCCATTTCCGAAGTTTTTTAATCGATTCAACGACGAATATAGCAGCATCGGTGAGATTTTTTATTTTTTTTAAAAAAAAAAACCCCTAAAAGAGAAGAGTTTGAAGGAAGAAGGGATAAATGAGCCACAACGAGAGAGAGAGAGAGAGAGAGAGAGAGAGAGAGAGAGAGAGAGAGAGAGAGAGAGAGAGAGAGAGAGAGAGAGAGAGAGAGAGAGAGAGAGAGAGAGAGAGAGAGAGAGAGAGAGAGAGAGAGAGAGAGAGAGAGAGAGAGAGAGAGAGAGAGAGAGAGAGAGAGAGAGAGAGAGAGAGAGAGAGAATATTAGAATTAGAGTTACGAGGTTGGTGGATTTAGGAGGTGGGTGGGTGGTAATTAAATGGGGTGAGTAGGATATTAATTAGGGTGGGTGGGGTAATTTAATTAATCTGTGTGTTATTTTAAATTTATAATATCAGTAACATTTGTGTAAATAAGACAACTCTTTTGGGACGAAGGAAATATTAGGCAATTTCAAACAATAAAACAAACCAAATACCTCTTCAACGGTCACTTCTTGCTACAGGAAGAAATTTAGGTACTGCTAGCAAAAAAAGATGTCAGTACAACTCCCCCACCTAAAACATATTACAATAGCCTTCTTGAGTTATATTCACAAACTAAAACCAAACATAAGACTTTCACTTCCAGACACTTCAATGTCTTTCACAGAATATAGGTTATCTTGACCATAACTAATTGTACCATCAAAGATTAAATTTGTTACAACACACCGGACACTAGTTCAATACTGCACTTAGAAACAAAATTTCAACAAATAAAAAAGTCTCTCTCACTAACATCAAATAACTCCCCAATCCCATACGTGCTACTAAAATTTAACAAAACATAAACTAAAATCTCCACTCATTATCAACCAAGCAATTAAATCCAGGTCCCTTCTGCTTCTCTTTTAGCTACCTATTTGCCAAATATATATATATTTTTTTCTTATAGACATGTTCAACTTTAAAAACATTGCAGTGCGACATGAAAGCAAAAATTATATGAATCTTCACGTCTATTCTTCATAGAAATTTGGCACTCCTATGCAACCACGTAACCACCATAGAAGAGTCAATCTCTAAAATCACTTAGTAATGGAAAACCTGCCAAACAACGGATTTCCTCAAGCCCCACTCTTATCACCTTCAATTCCGTTTCCACCTAGATCGAAACTTCAATATGTTTTGACACCATTAATATGATCCGTCCAACCGTATTTCTCACACCGCTTCAATCTCTGCCTCTCCATGACTTCCCTTAACGGACCATCCACGTTGATTTTTCAACAACACTGCGGCGGAGGCATCCACCATATAGATACAATTCTAGCCACACTTTTCTCCTTCCGATGAAAGTAGAGTTAGTCCATATTCCCATTGAATAACACTGCAGTACTATTTACTCCAGGGTTATGAACATCAAACTATTTCCATGCCACCCATTTAACCCTTTATACTATATCAAATTTGAAAGTGGTTTTCCTTGAAACACAACTTCATTTCTTGATCTCCAAATGCACCAAAAAAATCGTGAAATAAAGAATGTCTCAAATCAATTTATAGGAAGCCGTCCTCTGAAGCCCTTTTCATCCCATAACCAATCCCTGCATATTATTGGGATGCACTAAGACACTTTAAACCAACTTGACACCTCCCGCCACACGTGGGATGCAAATTTGCTTATCGCAAAAATATGATCAGACTCCTCATTTTCAATCCCACACACAAGGGCATTCAACTACTCCAATCAGCGTCATACCTCTTTTAATAAGCTCTATGGAAACGGAATCCCTCTATTAAAATTTGTTTCCCTGTACCACTCAAACTTTTTTTGAATTGCGTAAATGCCTACCTTCGTCGTGAATATACCATTTGATACATCTGTCTAAATCACCCTGTCCTCAACCGCCTCTCGCGGGCATGTGAAATTTATTAGAGCCCAAAAAGCGTCACATTTACTTGCCTCCCAACTAAGGACCTCCCTTCGGAGAGGAACCTCCCAAATCTATTTTCCTTTCTACCATCTCTCAAAGGACATAACCCACCATTTCTTGAGTACTGCTAGAGTGAAAATACGAGGGAATTGTGTTTTAAGATTCTCACTCTCCATCCACACATCCTCCCAAATTTAGTCTTAGCCCTATTACCAAGGATGATTTGTAATTTCAAATCTCCCACCAACCGCTTTTCAAATCTCAACTAGGATCTCCCGACATGATGCCAAATTGAACTTGTTACACCCCTTGGAAGCAATCATTCTCTATTCGCCCCTCTAATATGCATTGACCCTTTCACTACTTGCTTCTACGACTGATTATCCCCTTGAAACCTCTATTTCTATTTATATAAAAAAACAATATTATCCCTTTTAAGTTAAAGCATCTATTCATTAATTATGATATAACATTAAATTCATGTACTTGGGTAATACAATTTTTTTAGGTTAATAGTATATGTATTCGCGCATATTAGCAAATAATATATTCATACGTTCCATCTTAAACTTTAACATATATATATATATAATTCATTAATAATAAGATGACATTAAATTCTTATAATTTGAATAAAACAAATTCTTTTAACTTAGTAGTATATACATGTGCACGTGTTTAAAAAAATATATTTTTTTTCTTTTTTGTCGTTATCTCTTTTGTGGAAATATACTGAAGTTTTAATAATTATGAGCAAACCCGACAACTTTAAAATACTTTAATGTCTACACAATAATTGTAAAACTTACTAAATAAGTTGCAATGTAGTTTAGATTTTATGCTATATATGTAGGGTTTTAAAATAAATATTGCTAATTGAAAATTACATAATTTTGCATATATAATTGCATAAGTTGGGTTTGTCTATTTTTTGGGTGAATGTATTTTTTTAATTTTATTTTTATGTAAGTTCGATAAATTATGTTGATATATAAAAAATATTATTTTATATTAAATCAATTCATAATTAAAATAGTGTAAATATTTGATTTAGGTGGAAGAGCTATCCCAATAATGAGAAATGAAAATAAAACTAGGTCGCGGAGCCAACCCATAAGTTAGTGAATAAGATTAGGTGGCGGACTGACTTCGAAGTTATGGAGTAGGACTAGACGGCAGAACCGACCAAGAAGTTAATGAGTAGATGGTTGAAGTAAGTTATAAATTTACTATTATTCTTCTATGATCTCAAATTAAAATTAACGCTTGTATAGTTTTAAATAAAAATATACAATTTTCTATCGTAAAATATCATATCAAAATACTAGAAACATAAATTTAAATTAATAATCAATTTCAAATTAATTTTAAACTATAATTAAACAAATAATAGTAATTAAATTTTATTAATTTTTGTATATAAAATTATTTTTTATTTATAAAATATTTAAAATGGTTAAAATAAAGGAAAAATAGAAAATATTAATATTATTAATTTATTTATATATATTATCCCATATACTTTTAATTAAAAATAAATATATTAGAATAAATTTCCTTAAAGTTATAAATTTAGTGAAAAAATAAATCAATAAAAAATTAACCTTAATAAAAATACATACACAAGGGATTTATTCCTTTACATCTTATACTATTTTTAATGAAAAAAATACTCATATTTTATAATAAAAATACATTACTTTTTACAATTATAATTTTTAATAATTAATAATAAAAATTCTAAAAAATCATACATACAGAAAGAACACAACTAAATATTTTTAAAATAAAATATAATATCTCTTTAATTGTTAGTTTATATATAAATACCTAATACAAAATAATTATTTTATCAACTATTTTAACACAAACAGTATCTGTTAGTTAAATCAACTAATCGAATAAGCTAACAACTAATTGCAAACACAACACTTATTATAAATTATATTTATAACAAAAATATTATTCCCTCTATCCCACTAAAAGTGTCTATGTTAATGTAACACATAAATTTAGGAAAAATATAGTTAATAAATAATTAAAAAGTGTATTAATAAAAATAATTATAAATTAAAATTAAGATAATTAAGATTAACAAATTATAAAATGTAAAAAGTGACTTTCCAAATAAAGAAAAAAATGACAAATTATGTGGAATATTGAATAAATTGAGGTAAAATAATTAGTCTTATGTTAAAAGCATATATTTATTAATTATGATATAACATTAAATTCAAATATTTCGACAATACAATTTTTTTTAAGTTAATAGTATATGTATGCACACGTATTAACAAGTAATATATTCATACAGTATTTTCATCGTAAAATTTAAATTAATGTATTTAAAATTCATTAATAATAAGATAACATTAAATTCATATGTTTCGAATAAAACAAAATCTTTTAGGTTAAAAGTATATACACGCACACGTGTTAACAAGTAGTATATTTTAATGTTTTTTTTGTCGTTATCTCTTTTGTAGGAAGATACTGTATTTTCCATAATTATGAACAAATTTGCATGTTTTTTTTTATCGTTATCTCTTTTGTGGAAAGAATTAACATTTTCAATAATTACGAGTAAATCCCGCAACTTTAAAATACTTTAGTTTCTACACAATAATGGTAAAACTTACTAAATAAGTTGCAATGTAGTTTTGGCTTTATACTCTCTCTCTCTATATATATATGTAAGGTTTTAAAATAAATATTATCAAGTATTTCATAAATTATTTACATTTAATGCATTCGATACAATATATACTCCATCCGTCCACTTACAATGTTTACATATTTCTATTTTGGGACGTCCAATTACAAAGTTAACATTTCATTAAATACCCTATTTTTTTCCACAAATACCCTTACTTTACATCACATCATTACTTTTACAAAAAAAAAAAAAAAAACAAACAAAAATGTCATTACACTACTTTTAACTATTCACTATAATTAAAATACTATTATTTCTTAAACACCGCACCAAAAGTAAATGTAAACTTTGTAAGTGGACGGAGGGAGTATTATATATTATTCACTGACAAATGTTATTTTTATATTACCAACACAAATATTGTATATCTAAAATAAAAAATAATTCATAAAAGATACAAAATAAACACACTCCAAAATTTTATGAATAAATTTTTATTGTTAATTACTAAAACTTTTTTGTTCTTAATTATTATGAAAAAATAATATATTTTAATAATAAAATATTTCATAATTTTTTTTAATTAAAAGAGATAAGAAAAATAAAAGATACTCTGGGGTTCCTTTTACTTGTCACTACTTATAAAATATGCATAATTTATTTGTAGCTCAACAATTGCCAACTTCAATTTTACTATAAATAAAATTGTAATTAAAAACAACGTAAGGCATAGTTGAGAATTAAATGATAAAAAAGGAGTTGAGTGTAATATCCAAAAGTAGGAAGACTTAAAAGTAAATTTGAAGTTATGAGAGAAGCGCTTTCTTCTTTGGATATGATCTTTAGATTCGCGCTTTTAATAAAATCGTTAATAGTTATTTGTTCATGGGTTGGGTTGGGTTTGCGTTTTCCCGTTTGCGCTATCAGATCTTATTTATAATATGAGTTCATTCATACCCTCTCTTTCGCTCTGGTCTGTGTAGCGCACTGCAGTCTAGGGTTTCAAGAATTTCTCTCCCCCAAATCGACCATTTCAAATTCCCACCTCTGGCATGAGGAGATGGAATGCACCCTTGTTCTCTAGGTCCGCCTCGCCACTGTTTCGCCATTTGTTCTCGGGGGGACGTCTCTGCCGTTTGATTTGAACTGCTGGTTGTTTCGTCTGTGTATTTTTTTTTTCTTGTTTCGTTTTTGCGTCGAAGATCCGCCAGTCGAGACTGAATCAGGGTAAACGATGCCGACACTTTCCGGGAAAGAACTGGAGGATAAACTGGCGGCAGCTGGGAACAATCTGCTTCAGCCTCCCTCTTCGGTCGACGAACTCCTGTCTCTTCTAGATGTAAGCCCTATTCAGCAAAAAAATTCCTTTTTATAACTGCTTTTCCTTCACCGCTAAATGTTGGGTTTTTGATGGCCTTTGTACGTTTCCGAGTCGCTGAACAGAATTAACGATGTTGGCGTTATTGCGATTTTGTTTTTTTTTTGCTTTTATTTACTTGTGGAATAGGCCCTTTGCCAATGATTCATTATTCTTATAAATAGGGCAGGTGCAATGTAATATCTTAATGTTGGATTAGCATGTTTCATCACTTAGTTTGAATCAGGAGGATAGACTTTGTGTTAACAAATTCACTTTTAGTATAATTCAAAATAATTGACTAGTTACTGTCCCAAGTTGTCATTCCTCCTTGCTCTAAACATTCGGGTTTAAATGAAATTGCTTGCTTGAAACAATTATTGATATTTCATGTTATATGCTTTTCTGTTCAATTCTATTTTATGTACAGTTTCTATGCCCTTCTGTTAAGGAACCAAATGCCTAGATATTCGAAAATACATTTGTAACTGTCGTCTGTGGGTCCCAGTGAAAGTCGAGACTGTAATAATATTTTATCATTGGTTTCTGTAGCACAGCTTTCTATAGCTAATACTAAGAATTTAATCTCTTTCATTTTTTCTTACTTTTGAAAGGAAAGTCATGAAAATTTTATCATTGGGTTTCGTAGCACAGCTTTCTGTAGCTAATACTAAGAATTTCGTCGCATTCATTTCTTCTTACTTCTGAAAGGAAAGTTGAATTTTTGAATGATGGACTAAATACAGAAGATATGTTATCATTAGGTTTCAAAGCACAGCTTTCTATCGCTAATACTAAGAATTTTGCCTCTTTCATTTCTTCTTTCTTTTGAAAGGAAAGATGAACTAAATTCAGAAGATAATTTTATCATTGGGTTTCGTAGCACAGCTTTCTATCGCTAACACTGAGAATTTCACCTCTTTCATTTCTTCGTACTTTTGAAAGGAAAGTCAAGAAAATGTGATTTTTTGAACGATGAAATAAATAACAGAAGGAATTTTGTTTTTGGGTTTCGTGGCACAGCTTTCTATTGCTAATACTAAGAATTTTGTCACTTTCATTTCTTCGTACTTTTGAAAGGGAAGTCTAGAAAATGTGAATTTTTGAATAATGAACTTAATTCAGAAGATATTTTATCATTGGGTTTCGTAGCACAGCTTTCTATCGCTAATGCTAAGAATTCCTCCTCTTTCATTTCTTCTTACTTTTGAAAGGGAAGTCAAGAAAATGTGATTTTTTAAACGATGAACTAAATACAGAAGATATTTTATCATTGGGCTTTGTAGCACAGCTTTCTATCTCTAATACTAAGAATTTTTCCGCTTTCATTTCTTCTTACTTTTGAAAGGAAAGTCGAGAAAATGTGAATTTAAAAGATAAACTAACTACAGAAGATATTCTGTGGCATCTATTGGATTTATTAAGTGAATTATGTCACAGGCGCGTTGCATTCTCTGTGTTTAGTTTTCTGATAACTTCATCATTTTATATTTAAGCAAATTGAGGATCTTTTGACGAAAGTGGAGCAGTCACCTGCCAAATCCATGCAAACTGCTCTTTCTCCACTGATGAACGCACTGCTTGTGGAAAAGCTGCTGAAGCATTCTGATGCTGATGTAAAAGTAGGCATTGCCTCTTGCATCAGTGAGATAACCAGAATAACTGCACCAGAAGCTCCATATGATGATGACACAATGAAGGTGATATTTTCATCTATAGTTGTACTTCCTGCCTCTCTGTTCTCTACCCCCTCTGCTTAGATAGGTTCCTGACAGTCCTTTTTTAGGATGTCTTTCGGTTGATTGTGTCCTCCTTCGAGCATTTGTCGGATACATCAAACAGATCACATGCGAAGAGGACTGCTATCCTTGAAATTGTAGCCAAAGTCCGATCCTGTGTCATCATGCTGGATTTAGAATGCGACCAGCTGATTATTGAAATGTTTCAACACTTCCTTAAATCTATCAGGTAAAAGTTTTAAGTTATATGCTACTTGACTCGCTGTCATTTCTATCTAATATAATTACTACATTCTTAGTTATGGTTATGCTAATACATTATCTAGGTAAACTGTGCATTTAAGTTATCCTGGTGCTTAACCAGTTTTCCATTCATTTGATAACTATTGATCTGTTCCCTTTCGTTTCCCATTATTTATTCCATATGGCTGAAGTGTCTCATTGCATGTTTTTCATTATGTCTTTTTTGTTGCAGTTTGTCTGTTTATTTGTCACCAAATAGTGTGGAAAAGTCGAATTGAAATACTTTTTGTTTTGCTGAATGTGAATTGGTGCATTTGTGATTGGTATGGAAAGAAATATATATGCATTTATATTTAAACTCTTAGTTCAATATTACATTTTTTAGCATCTTATATTTACGTGTAAAAGAAATATGATGTGGTAAACTGGAAAATGTTTTGTTCTAAAATCTAGTATGTAGTTCATTAGTGTCTGTAAAACAAAGGGGCTGAAATTTCACGTTTCCATTCCAAGCGAAAACACATTAAGGTTTCTGATAAACTTGGTAAGGAAGCACTTTTCTTGTGTGTATTATAAGTTATTAACACTAATATTGGATACTGGTGTGTGTGTGTGTGTGTGTGTTTGAAATAATGCATTTAATCTATTTGAGTTGCTTTTTAGTTATTGGTTTTAGTTTAACCATCTGAATCCATTAATGGAGACTTCTCTTCAAAATGTGTTTGTATAGATGGCTTCCACTACTGACTTTAACAAAGCCATAGAACTATACATTCTGTTGCCAATTCACTCACAAGATGAAAGGCCTTGTTTGTAACACATGATAGACATGGCTTACCCTGTATAGTTGTAGATGCTTAGCTGATGATAATAATTCTCTGCAATGTGTTTACATAAACTGTGGGCCCTGCAGGGTGAGGGAACAATTTTATCTACACTAATGTTTATCTTGTCATTACTTCCATTTGAGGCATACAGTCATATTTATGAAAAATTTTAATTACAAAAGATTTCCAACAATAATCTCTGTACTTGTTATTATATACACAAAGGCCTTGTACTATTCATATCATGTTTACACAACAGAACAAACTCATGACACAGAAAGCCAACAAAATGTGGAAAAGTCTCTGCATTGGCTCATTCATGAAAAATGTATATATTATGGATTTGATGTCTTGTAATATGTTGCTGGAGATAGGGATTTATTTTATCTTAACTGCTTATGTCTTATAGTTTCTACTTTCAGGGATTATCATACTGAAGTTATTTTTGGATCCATGGAGACAATTATGAGTCTTGTTTTAGAAGAAAGTGAAGATATCTCCCCAGATCTGCTCAGTCCAATTTTGTCTACTTTGAAAAAGAACAATGAGGTTTTTTTTTTGCTTTTAATATTCACCTGCTCTTGTTTTTTATATGTTTTTTTCTCTCACGCTTCATATGATGCTGTTAATGATTTGATTGATAGGCTGTTTTGCCAATTGCAAAGAAATTGGCTGAAAGAGTTATTCAGAATACAGCAGACAAGATTAGACCCTATATGGCACAAGCAGTGAAATCTCTAGATGCTTCGGTGGATGACTTTAGTGAAGTTGTATCTTCTCTTTTTGGAAAGAATAGCGATGTAGATGGGCATAGTAATGACTGCAATTCCAAAGACCATGCGGTACACTTCCACTTGTTTGCAATTAATATATTCATGTCTTCTGATGTTTTATTCATTTGTTTGTAGTCTGATGCTGTTGCTGCTATCATTATATTATTCATCTTTCTGATATCTATAATTTTTTTTTTTTTTTTTTTAAAATGAGTTTCCTGCTGGGTATGGTATGTTTAAGTACAAATGGTCCTTTTTATAATCATGAATTCCGGGGAGCTTCTGGGAGTTTTTTCATGTGTTCTGAAATGGGGTTCTAGCAATGCTCATTCATGGTACTTGAATTAGAGTTTTTTCTGTCTATAGTTATTATAGTTTGTCTGGTATAAGATAGTTCTATGGGAAATTTCTACACCATTTCTTTGTTGCAGCTGTGATGTGAGATATCTTCATAGATGTGATGATAGATTATTTGCATCATTGAGGATTTTTAATTAGGCTAGATCTATCACACTGGGATCATTCTGAAAGTCCTGTTCTATCACTTCTTTCTTACCTGCAGCTTTTATCAACTTGTCCTGAATCATTTGAAAGTTGCTAATACAGAATAGAAAAATTGTTTGATTTACTTCTTCCCCATTTTGTGTTAACCTCTCTTCTAATGATTCAATGATGGTTGCGGTTGATTTAGTTTAACTACGAGTGGGCTTTTGGTGATTGTGCATCATACTTTACTATGTAGGGACAGGTTTTTACATAAAAGTGGTATATTTATAAAATTTTGCAAGTTGATCCCTGTTATGAATCTATAATAACCTTGGGGAAGGTTATCCCTTTTTCCTTCTAAATGAGTGGGTTATGTTTGCTTCTTAACAGAATGCTAAGGATGTTGTTGGAGAGACCAATTCTAAGGATGAAGACCCAGATGCAGTTAAATCTCCAGAGTTAATTTTAAGGGATAGAATCGATGAGATGAATATTGAAGAAAAGACTGATGCAAATTTGTTGAAGGCAGATGATTCTAACCATCATCTTGATGCCAAAGCAACAACTGATACTGAGGTTGCTGATTGTGTTGCTGAAAAATCTGTGGAGTCTGAAGAGAAGCGGGATAATGCAGAAGCTAAGCAGGAAGCATGTAAGGATGAAAGTCCTGGTGAAGATGCGCATATATCTGATGCTGAGGCTAAACCAGTTGAAGAGCCCAAATCTGTGGATGAAGTAAAAGAAACTCAGCCCCAACCTGAGGCACCTAGGCATGAGGCTGAAGATGCAGCATCGCCAATCCAGAGCGACAATATCCCTGATGAGAACGAATCTAAAGAAGATAGGTTAGAAAAGAAGGAGAATCCTGTTAGTGGAGAGAAGGCATCTAAGGATAATGCTTCTGAAAAAGCATCTGAGGAAGAGCATATTTCTGTATCAAAGAAGCGGAGGCGCCCTGGGAAGAAGCAAGCTGCCAAGACTGTTGACAAGGGCAAAACATTGACTGATAAAGGTACATCTAACAATAATGATGGTTGTACAAGTGAGTCAGTGGCAAAATCACTGGAAGAGACAGAAAAGCTAGGGGATGCTAGTAATAAGATGGAGGATGGATCTTCATTGAGTAAGGAAGTTAGAAAAAAAGGTGGACGTGCGAAATCTGCACCTGAAAAAGATGTTCCCAAATCTTCAGCAAAAGAAGATCATAGAAAAGTATGCCACTTTCTACCAAAAGTATATATCTGTTTTTAGTTTATACTAGATTACTCTATTTTATTTTGTCCATTTATCTAATTCTACCTTTGATGAGTATCTTATAGGAGACGCCAACTAGTTTAAAAGCAACAAAAGATCAAGACATCCAGGAAGAAACTCCAAGAGCGAGCGCCAAGAGAAAGCGAACACCAGGCACCGAAAAAGTACGTACTTCCAAATTTTGGTACTACCTTGCTTTCATTTTATATTGAAGTCTGGGAGCTCCTTTACCAGCTGCTTTAGAAAGCATTATGTAATGATAAACTAATCACACAAAGCATGAAAGAAAGATGTTCATAAATTATGTAATGTCTTCCTATGTTTCGGCAAGCATCAGAGTTAACCCTAATATTCTATATATTCAAAGGCTTGACATGATTCTGAAAAGAAAAAGTGGACGTAAGGTTGCATTCAAGCTAAATTATTGTTTCTTTTCCTTTCTAGTGAGCTGAGTTTCTTCTCTAGAGAGATGAAACTTGGCAACAAAAACCTCTGAATGATTTGAAATTAAATTAGAATAATGTGAAGGGGAGTATTTGGAATGCATAAATAAAAGAAAATGAATGGAAACTTAGCTTGAAGATTAAATGTGTTCGAGTGTTACAATATGGAGCCAGTCAAAGATGTGTATTATTTGGTTAGGTTCTTGTGTGTGCAAAATGTATGCTTTTTTTTTTTTTTTCTCTTTCTTTTTCCCCAACGAGTTATCTGTTAGTAAAAATGACATTGTCTGTTTTGAGTATATGGGAACATATATTTGTAGTTGTAGATTTAAGTTCATGTAAAACTAATGTTTGACTAAAAGAGGAAATACTTAATTGAAGGGAGGGCTATGGCTTTAAGGTCAGACTCTACCATTGGCACTTGGATAGACTTATTCTAGATTTCAAGGAGTTCTATAAATTATTCAACATGAACAAGGAAGCATTAAACAATCAAACTTTGAAACTTGTTTGCTTGTAGTTTAGTGTTTGGTCATTCTATTATTTACCGTAGCTGTTAAAATATGTTCATATATGTTTTTGTTTTTCGATGTATAGTCTGTTTATCTGTTTGCCATGAATTTCTTATTTCATTCCTCCATGTTTATGATTGAACCATCCACTTGAGATCGTAGGTCTTGATCTTTATTGATTTCAATTTAGTTATAAGACTATTAATTTCATTCTATATGTCACTTATTTTTTGAACTTTTGAGGTATATATCTGTACTTTTAAAAGAAAGTTTGATGGATTTTGAAGATGGAATGTGGTTTGATTTATTAAAATTTCCTTGTGTTCATACCAGGCATCAGGGACTATGGAATATGGACAGAACTTGGTAGGTTCAAGCGTTAAAGTTTACTGGCCTGAAGATAAAATGTAAGGAATTTTACAAACTACCTATCATATAGTTTGGTGATTTAGCAACTAATGGTTTTCTATCGTACTGCCTTTTGTCATTATGACCAGGTATTATGAAGGCGTAGTTGCTTCTTATAATTCTGCGAAGAAGCAGCACAAGGTCAGCATCAAAATTGCCTGTCGGGTCTCTGGTGCATGGAAATATGGAAATGGAATTATCTTTTGCACTAATGCTTCTTCTATATAGGTACTTTACGTTGATGGTGATGAAGAAATACTTAATCTGAAAAAAGAACGCTGGGAAATTCTTGAAAAGGGCTCGACATCTGATGGGGTAAGTTATTATTATGGCCAACTCCTCTTTCTGTATACTGTTATTGCTCACTTTGTTTTTTGTTTCCTGTTTCCCTCCCCGAATAGGAGCAAGATGGTGGAAACTCAAAGCGTGAAGCCACTTCTGACATGTATGTTACTACCGTTTTTTACTTTAAATTTTTATATTTTTATTTAAACTGCAATCTTAATTATCACAAAAAGCTGCAACTTATAGTTGTCCTCAATTTATAGCTTATATTGGAGTCCCCAGATATTAATTTGAGATACTTTGAACTGTTACATTTACTTGCATATATCCTTCCGGGTGGCTCGGGCTCCTTATCTTCTAGTCTACATATATTGAGGTTTTTTCCTTCATGGCTACTTGCTAGTTACTAATTTATGGTGGTTGGTAGTAGGATGGAACGCCAGAGTCCTAATTGTTTTTTTTACATGTTTAGATGGTGCTTTAATATTCTGGTTTCACGTTAAGTTGGTTCGAAATATGACATGTCTTACTTGATGTGCCCTTCTTAAATCAGAAAATCAAAGAAGAAAGGAAAAGGCAAGACGGAACCATTGAGCAAGCGTCAAAAGGTGGATACTTCACCCAAAACAGCAAAAAGGTATGTATTTGCTCGATGTTTCCAATAGATGCTGCCCAGACCAGTGTATGATGATCATTACTTCTCATTTGCTACAGCAAACTAAAGGCTGCTGCAACAAAATCTGGGGGAAAATCAGCAAAGAACGATGGCCAAGCAGAGTCAGAGTCCAAACCAAACAACTCAAAGCCGGGGAAAAAGTCTGGAGACGATGCTGTTAAATCTAAAGAAATTTCTCAGAAGCCAAAGGGAAAATCTCAAGGCGATGCTCCTAAAACATCTGGTGGATCCAAAGGGGATGATGATGAGAAAACTCCAGGTCAGTCGAAACAAGCCAGCCAAAAGTCCTCCAAAACCAAAGGTCGACCCCCAAAGGGTGGCAAAACACCCGGTGGTGGTAAAACAGCAAAATCCAGTTCGTCTAAGGCGAAGGAAACCGAGCCAAAGGAAGAATCACCAGAGCCAGAGAAATCACCGGAACAGGTGAAAGGGAAATCCACAGACAATGCAAAAACCCGAGACGGCGAGACCAAGAGTGGGAAAAGGCGAAGAAAATCGAATATATGATTCTGAGTAGAAATGGAAATGAGCTGAAGAAGATGAAGTATGTTGTATGGCGACGTGTATACTGTTTTATGCGCGCATAGTTTCTCTAGGGTTGGGTGTTGAGTTAGGTGAAGTATGATTTAACTCCTGACATTTAAGAATGCTGGGTTGCGATTGTCTCGACGAAGACGATGATGATTAGGTTTTCTATTAGTTAGGTTGCTCTGCCTGCCTGTGTCTGTGGTTATGTCTTGTTGATTTTGCTGCTGCTTACATACACTTTGTGGCGAATTATTTGAAAAATATGCCTGTGGCTGTTGATGGGTTTGAGCTAATCTTGATTTGAATCCATGGCTGTCAACGGCTAGTAATTGATATATATATATATATATATATATCTATGCAAATTAGGAATTAAGCAAATTAGCAATGTATGGTTGGTGTCTATTTCCTGTATAAGTTTAGCTTGTAATGACTGGAATGTTCCTATGAGGATGTTTTTGGTTGTGATGTATTGGCCTATACTGAATGGAATAAAAGATTCTAGGAGGTAGTATATATTTGGATAGAACAATGCATAACCGTAGTTTAGATGTGAGAGAAGAAAAGAAAAATCAAAACATAAATCAAAAATTTTTTAATACATTTTTTTTTTTTAAAAAAAGTTAATATATACACATTAATTAATTTTATAGTATTTACTCATTTCTTTATATTTTACATAATTTTTTTTTTTTTTTTTTGTCAAACCAAAACACAAAACAAACTATTTGATAATCACAAAATATAAACTAGCCCAAGCTTATTGATTACAATTTATGAGAAAATCTTGAGTGGTCAAAATTTCTTAACAAATCGTACTAGTTTGTAGATTTCTAACTTCAAATAATAATATGATAGAAAGTCGAAACATAGAGGTAGAGACAAAACCAACTCTCACATAAACACAATTAATTTCCATTATAAAATTAATCACAATCTTAATTTATAACAATATATTGTACAAAAAACAATAATTAAGAAACCGACCCGACCCGACCGGATTCAAAATGTTAATATCAGGGCGGGAATGTCTGGGGCGAAACCCGCCCAATTGCCCCAAACAGTAACACATTCTCCGAACCGCGCGCACGTGCTACGCACGCCCTCTTCCCGATAGCCTCTGCCTTCGGTGATTTTAGCCGGACGGATTGCAGTCGGCGGAATGAGCAACTCCGCGGCGGCGGACACGGAGGCCGACGATTCAGACTTGATATGCCAGCTTGAGAGCGTCCAGGGTATCGTTGATGCCCTAACGTCGGTCCGATGGAAGCGCTATCAGGTACTTCCGTTCCTTGCTTTTTCGTGACATAAACTCTTTAAATTAAATGCTAACGCTTTCGGGATAACAATTGGATCTCCTAAAAATTCGCTTCAGGATGCTGTCGTCGAACTATCCGAGCACGGCATAGTCATAATTGTAGAAGAGACAGGTTGTCTTCAGGCTAAGGTTTATTTACAGCGCGAGGTATCATTCTTTTGGTATTTTTGGGGATTTTCTGTTTCTTCCAACATTTGTTCTATTTTTACAGAAAGTTTCAACTCTTATAGGGGATGAAATTTTGTTTCCTGACGTTAATTTTGTGGAATTTGTTTCGATTCAGCTATTTGTTAGGTATGACTTCCGAGCGCACGGGCGGCCGCGATTTGGTTTGAGTTTAGGACTGTTTGTTAATTGTCTTAGTACGTTTTCAGTTCCAGGTCGTTCCACCATTCTTGAGCTCCGATATCCCGGGCCAGACATGGAACTGATGCTCAGGTTTGAACTCAATTTGCTTAATCTAGATAATTTTAGCTGCAATTTTCTTTACATTGGTAATTGCAAAGAAATCTTTAGCTTGATCACAGTAGAGTAAATTTTGTTTTGGACTTTCGTCTAACAACTTTACTGCAATCTTACCTTGGGGAGAAGGTGGATGGTAGGGAAAGAGTGGAAAAATCAAAATAAAATTATTAATTGGATTTCAAATAAAATATTGATGCTAAAGTTAGTGTTATAAATGTTTTGGTAGTGTAAGTAGTCTCATCAAGAAATAGTATTTTGTTGTTTCTCAAAATCAAGGGTGAGAATTGCTGCTAGAAAATGCCTGCCATTAGAGCTCTTCCAGTTTTCCAGAGCATAATAAAAGTATTGCATTAGTTTTCAAGCCTGTCAGAGAAATAATGGATCAGAAAGCAAGCAAAAAGGCTAATAACAATGTATGGAATTAAACTAATAATTGCTAATGTTGGGCAACCTTTATGTTGATGCAAGAAAAAATTAGATTGTGAAATGTTGACTGGTCTTGCTGAGTCACTTTGTTTTCTTGCCTTGTGCACTTGCCTGAATTTCTTATTTGTTACGTTGGCCTGGCTTAGATCTATAGATTCTTCAGATGGCTGCAGTCTAGCATACATTAGGACAAGGATTTTGGAGACCATCTCATGGGATTACAACTTTGAACCTGCCGGTAGCACTCCTTTGAGTTTTACTGTTAAGGTATGCCTTTTTCTTTTCTCACAGCTTTATTACCTCACAGGTTTACGAAGAGCAATAGAATTGAAACACAAATTAAAGTTTATATAAAATAAAAGAAGAAAATTAAAATAAAACTAAAAACTAAGAAAGAAAGAAAATATGTTCTTTGGTTTCAAAAAGGCTATAATTGTAGAATATGTATATGCCATTTATTGTTCGTAATTTAACTCTCTTATGTTTGGGAATTGTAATTTGGTATTGTCATTGCATCCATAATTTTCCACTCTTCTGAACTTTTTCGATCTGTCTCCACTTTGGTCTGCTCTCTCAAATAGAATTGAGAAGTTCACTGATTGCAAGTATTAGAAAGGGGATTATATCCCCCCCCCCCCCCCCTCTAGTACAGAATTGGCGAATTAAAATATCTTCAAACTACATTGAATTGATTACTTGATGGCGTGGCCAGTAAACATAATTCTAATTTATTTGGTCGAACTGCCTTGAATAACTTTAGATAATGCCCTTGTAGAACTTTGAAAGGATCTTTCTCATCACATTCTGAGCATCCTCTGCTCTTCTTCGGTTACTTAATGCTACCCTTCAAAATGTTGGTTGATGTTATGAAGTCATAGATTGTTTGCCCTGCTGTAGTATGTCTGGCAACTATATGTATTTTGCTCAACTTGTCTTTTACCTCATCTTATTTGCTCTATATCACTGAGTTTAAAAATATTTGGGTGTGCTTGTTTGAGGGTTCGGATTTTTTAATAGTAAAATTTTGAATTTGAATAGTAGCGCTCGGGGGTTTGACTTGATATAAATAAGTATTGAATATAATATTTTGAATGTAAAATTAATATTCAATATCATATTAAAAAAAATGAAAATGGATATTTCCCACCTGACATCCATGCTCGAAACTTCTATTCTTGCACTATGATTTCATAAACTTCACATATCAAAAAAAGTTCAATCAGTACGGCGCAATTTCTTGCTACAGATACAATCCAATGTCGCAATTCACTCATTATTTTCTCAGTCGAATAACTACCATTCGACAGTCTGCAGCTCTGAAGGAAGCTATTGATGATCTTGAATGGCCGGGATCTAGCATTCAAATCACACTACAGCCGACTCCCCCATCAGTTATCTTCAGAGGTGAAGGCCATGGAGACTTACAGGTACGTCTAATGTAATCTTTCGCGCAAAAATTGTTAAGATAATTCGAGTCATAACATAAGCAACTGCAGATAGACTTCAAGTACAACGCCAGTGTGGACCTTCTCCTTGCATATAGCTGTGATCGACAAATTTCTCACAGGTCTGTATCTTATTTCCTTCACCTAACCATAATCCAACATCCTATTCCCAACTCTATAACAATCGAACAGGTACAAGTACAAATTCCTTCGAGCGACAACTTCAAATATACCGACCAGCGTCATAAGAGACAATCGAGGGACTAAGCTGACTGTTGGGAGAGGTGGTATGCTGAAAGTTCAGCATCTTGTCTCGGTGGCCAGACCATCTGCGGCGCAGCAGCATTCTCACGTGGATTCGGCCGGCCATCATCGACAGCCAGGTCGGATTGCTTATATTGAGTTCTATGTTAAGCCTGAAGTAGAAGAAGATAATGCGACTGATTCTTAGGAGTTGAATCATCTCATTGAAAATCAAAATTCCTTGTCACAACTGTATGTGCATATAAGTTTCTTGAGGGTCTAAGTTATGATTTATGTAGATGAAAAAATGGGCCCATATATTGATTTTGTTACTTCTTTATCTTTTTTATTCTTTTAAATGATACAAGGGAAATTTGATGTCTTTGGATAAGGGGGTTAGGAGTTGAGGCGGATAATCTTAAAATTTTGAATTAAATATTTGTTTGATAGGATAAAAAATACTCCTTACTTTTTATGTAATACGAGACTATCACGGTAGATATGAAAATTTAGATAGAATATAATTAGTAAGTAATTAAAAATTATATTAGTAAAAATAATTATAAATAGTTTAATTAAGATTAAAAAATTAAAAAATTAAAATTAAAATATGGTTAAAGTGACTTGGGGATTCAAATAGAAAATAATGACAAAATATATGTGCCACAGGGAGCATGTATATTATTATTATTATTTTCAGTCAAATTTATTTTTATGTTCTTTTTTAATTTGCTAATTATTCTATTATTATTTTTAACAAAATCAATAAATCAGTATTTAACTATTTCGATAATGTATATATTTTATTAATTCTAATAATTTTACCTTATCTTTTATATAAAAATAATGATGAAACGGTAAAGTATGGCTATTTGTACAAATATATACTTTATGGCTGGACGGAAAGGGAGTATTATTTTTCGTTTTTAACATTTATTTACAACAAATACTATTTTATTATTATTATTATTTTATTTAATTTCTAATTAAAATTTTAAAAATACCCTTAATTATATTTTTTCTTTTATTATTTTTAATGAAATAATTCATTTTTCTTATTTGTTTAGGATCCATATTTTACCAATTTTACTGGAGGATAGAACATAAATAAAAATAAATAATTTCCGACCTAAATGTGTAAATTTTACTAGAAGAATGGAATATATGATATAAAAACAAAAATATTATTTGATGTATGTACTGTACATTTTTTCTTTTGTTTTAGGAAACAAAAAAAGTTCTCATACATACAACTCAAAATACTATTTTTATTAATTTTATTTATTTTATTAAAAAATATTCATTTTAAAAAGTAATCGTATATAATATCAAAATATTTTTTAATTTTTATTTAAATTATAAATATATCGTTAGATATATAATTATTTTATATATAAAATGAAAAAAATAAAAATATCAGAATTTCTTAAACGATACTCTAACCAATAAAATACTTTTATCTATAAAATCCCAAAATGTTCATTTCCATTGAGACGTGGGAGTAAATAATAAAATTCCAAAATGTTCATTTCCATTGAGACGTGGGAGTAAAAAAAAACACATTTTTTCAAAGTGATAAAGGTCAAAATTATATATGCCTTATATATTTCCTCATATATATATATATATATATACTTTATGATAAGTTTTATTATTTTCTTTTCATCCTGATCTTCTATCATTTATGTTTACATATATACATATATATATATATATTTGATTTGATGTGAACAAATATACTATATATATACATCAAATCAAATATACTATGTATATATATATTTATTTATTTATTTTTAACACTAAAATATATAGCCTCAGATCCAATGAGAATTCCAACCAATTTAAGCATGATCGAACCCAGATCTAACTTTCAAGGCAAGGGATATTTCACTACTTGATTTACAAAAGTTTGACTATATATATTGCATAAAGTTTTGATCGAACTTAATAACCGGAAGATTAGACCGACAAGACTGGGTTCAGATTACGAATTCACTTCCAAACTAGTTGTTGGATCCTAAAATTCGGAGGTTCCAAGATATTTCGTCGATTCGTAAGTGTGGGTTCCGGAAGTACTCCAAAGAGCCTGTCCGTCGTCGGATTAGAGGCGGCTCCTTCGGTGGAGCCTGCACAGCTCGAGCCTAAACGAGGCTTCGAGCCTAAACGATCGATTTCGATGGATTTAAATTAACATCTACTAAAACTCAGATAAATCTACTGAAAAGCGGATAAAAATATGCTAGAAACATAAAGACAAGTAATTCGAATTAAAATGCATAAATGGAAACTAAAAACTACGAAAAAGAAATAGAGAAATATGCGAGTTCATCTTCTTGTGCGTATGTGTGATGTTTTTTTTCATAATTTTAATTCTAAGATAGAATAACCGCTTCTTCCCGCTAAAAGGGGCCGTTCCAATTGTTCTTCCACCACTCTCAACCTCCTGGTAATCTCCCAGTACTACCTCCAACTTTCTGGTAACTTTCTTCCACTACCTCCAACTGTCTGGTAACCTCATTCCATCAGTTCTCTGGTAACCTCCTTCATCCGCTCCCAACCGCTTCCATTGTCTCTGGACCGGGTTCCACTTGCTCTGAACTTCTTCCATTGCCTTTGGACCAGATCTGCCGCTTACTCCGATTTGTTTCCATCGTACTCCTAGCTGGTCCACGGGATGTATCCCCAACAACCTCGATTTAAATAGAATCTTCGGTTTTCCTCTTGTTGGCTTGTTCCATGGAGCTTTTTGAATAAAATATGAAAGTGCATAGGCCCTCCACTAATTTTAAGTACGAAATTATTAACCTAAGGCCAACGGAGGTAGTTATCCCATAATCCGTGGAAGCAGTTGCTTTCTATCTTGTGGAAGCAACCTTCATCTGCTTTGTGGAAGCACCGCAGTCCAATTAAGGTAGTCGTTTTCAACCCAATGAAGACAACACTTTCTGATCTTATGGAAACATTGTTCCAGGATGGAGGCACCATAGTCCAAGGAGTTGCTGCCTTAAGGTCCATGGAAGCTGCTGCTTTCGGCCATGTGGAAGCACCACAATCCAATGGAAACTGTTGCCTTTGGCTCTGTGGAGGTAGCAGTCTTTGGCTCCGAGCCTTAAAGCTCCATTGCTGTTGAGCGGCTCCGCGACCAATGAGCTCTGACTCCACTTTTATCTTTGAGTCTTCTTCACGTTCAGGTATTTTTAGACCCATTTCCAACACTAGTAGACCATTCCTTACGCGAAACCTGAGTTTGGGAAGGACTTGAAGTCGATGATTCCAACCAACATGGTACACATTTTTTTTTGTGTGTGTTTCATAAAGAAAGTTAATAAAAATACCAATGTTATCATCTAAAAAATAATTGAAGTGTACAATAACTTTCAAAAGAAATACATAAACCTTACCGGAGATGTAGTGAATCAAATTAGAAATCCAACGCAGTAAATGGACACATTTTTCATTTGCCAAAAGTTGTTCGAGACCGAGCGGATGAGTTGGGCCTTGCCCTAGACAAGAGCACTTATTCGAACCTCTTAGATTATAAAATTTAACCTTAATTTACATTGTACTTAAATTTATGAAGAAAATTAAAAATAAGTACAAATAATGTGATAATAAATTTTTTAAAATTCAAATCCTAAATCTCTATAGGGTAATTTAACATTTTAATCTTGAATGGTAAATATTAAACTCAAAGAGAAAAAAAATTTAAAATTAAACTTTATTATTGAAAAAAATATTTGCGAAGTAGACTATAAATCTATACGCATGTTCGTTATAATTAAATTATATTGTTAAATTGCATACATTGGCGTGGCCCGGCGGGTGTTGGACTCTCTAATTATTTTAATTGCTTATTTTTATTATATAGTATTTATAAAATTTTTAAAATTTAAGTAATGAACTACCTTTATAAATTTAATAGAAATTTCATTATTATAAATATTCAATGTAAATATTTAAAAAATTAGTTTAAACATTTTTAACATTCAAATATATGTGAATATTTATAATAAGAAAAACAAAAATGTTAGTGTTGTATACGTACATGCATTATCACATCAACGTGGATGGTATTGTTTATTACACATATCAGCTGCGTAATTATTTGGTATATTGATTGTAGCATAAACATAATTTTATTTTACCTATATATATAATTTACTGCTTGAAATGAAATACACAAAAAAAAATTACATCTATCACTTTCACTACCAGCAAAGTGCCATATTGACCCGGAAAATTGTCTCGACGAAACCGCCGAGACAATAGTTTGTCACAAAATTTTTCTTCGAGACAAATCAGTGTCTCAACTATGGTTTGAGGTATTACTGAGACACTTTATCTCGACTATAATCTTGAAGATTAGTTCATGACAATGCATTGTTGCATCTTTCTCTCGAAACACCACTGATAGTAAGAATTGTCCCGACATAGACACAAAAAATACCCCGAGATTTAGATTCGATCATCGATTTTAAATAATCTTATTATTCAATTCATAAATTGGTTATAGACATTAGATATGATCATAACGTCCAATTTTTTATTACTTTATTGGCGGAAATAGTACGATCAATTGATTGCATTCCTAATCAAAGAAATAACTTAGGGTACGACCATAAATTAATTTCCCCAATAAAAAATAGCATGAAAAAACTCAATTCAAATATTCAATCAATTATGAAAAAATTAAATTATTTGATCATGAAATTCCTAGGTTAAACTTATCAACCTATTTACCACTTTATTAAACAAGTGCACAATTACGGATGCAAATGTTTGATTGACATACAATTCCTAAACCAATCTAAAATATGGCTGCGATAAAAGATTAAATAAAACAATTGTAGACATGAATCACCGAAATTGCACAAATACAAATTTAATAAACAAAATGCAATGCAATTCAAATCAAAACATAATATCACAAATCCAAATCCGAAATTAAAATTCAACATTGGACTAGAATAAAAAAAACTAGCTAATCATGCTTAAAGTAAATGAAAGCGATAAAAAAAAATAATGTTGATCTCCCGGTGGCTATTTCTCTCCTAACTCCTCGCCTAGTCCTTTAAGCTATAAAGTGTGAGTGTAAGTTGTGATATCTCATCCGAGGCCTTGATCCTCATTATATAAACGGACAAATCTTCAATTAACTCCTTTAATTGCTCATTTCCATTTTCATGGTATCATTCCATCTTTACGCCTATAGTCACGCCACCATCCTCTTAAATCAAGACTTTCCTTGGTGCGTACAATCAGTCGCACGATTTTCTTTTGTTTGACCCGGATAATGAGCATGATTATCTTTACTCCAACCCATAATAAATCGAGATTATACCAAAATTAGTAGAAATCTATCCAAAATATTAATTATAA